TAGTAATTAAATCCAGCTCATTCATGATTTGATTATTTCTAATAATATTGTTTTGATTTTTTTATTTTTTTGATAAACCGGGGTATTTAGGTCAGCTTATGTGCATCACAACTAATACCTAGACTCACTGAATATCTTACAAACTTAGTGAGCATGTAAAGCATCGCGGAAGTGACAAACATGCACAATAAACTTGAACCCTAATGCAGAAAAAGGAAACAGGTCCCTTCTATCGCTGAACTACAGGTTAATAGATTAGATCGAGTCAATTTATAAAAAAATAATCTAATTTAAATATTTAAAAGAGTTAATAAAAAAACATAAATTTATTGTTGAAAGAATATAATTTTTTTTTTATCCTGAGTCTCTATATTAACTTGATAATTCACAAAGATGATTATACTATAAAATATCCTAGTAGTTAAAGTAACACTAGTATAATTAATTCAAAAATAATAAAAAAAAAAATTCTCACAATCAAGTAAATTTTCTTTCGAATCTACTTTTTTGTTAAGAGTAAGAAATAATAAGGGCATTAGCTATTTTTGTGCAGTTGAGTTCTTCTAGAGCAGTGATTAGAGAATCAAAGGTTCTATTGTCGAGCCTAAATAACTACATGAAGAGGTACTAAAAATGCAAAAAGGAAGGTGAGGAACATAACTAATACAGATAGTTTAATGAAAAGAAAATGCATTAAAAGGTTCGAGGGCTCCTCAATCATGTAGGCTTGCTTAGCAATGATCTACAATTTTCTGTTGTTCTTAAGATCGGACGTAGGAGTTGAACTCAAGTTTTATTTTCTTCCCTTAATCCATAAGAGGGAATCATTAAACTAAACAATAATTGAGGTAGGAATGGTCATCGGTTAGGTCAAACGAATGATGGGAAGGGAGCAGAGTGGGTGCCATGGAACGAATTAATGGAAAGGGAATGCTATTGTTAAAGAGACAATAAAGAACAGGTTTGTAACACCTAGCAGGTGGCCATTCGAATGTTTTAGAAAATAAAGTAATCGATGATCTTCGGCAATGCAATACGGGATTTAATAATGTTCATTTGGTGGTGTCTATATATATATATATATATAGAAGAATCTCTTTTATCACACACACACACACACACACACACACACACATATATGCTACTGCAAAACCGAAGCAGGCTACGGAGATTATGATCAAATTGGAATGATTCTGAGGATTAATCATGAATTATTTTTTAAAAAATAAAAAAATATGAGGGGGGAAGGAAGGAGGAGAACAGTTGAGATGTCATCTCCTTGATTATGAGGCATAATCAATGTGCCGGAATCCCAGCTTTCACTCTTACAGAGAAAAGGGCAAAACCAGATCAATGGAGCAAATTCCTCCTGTGGATCATAAACAAATGATCTAAACTTTAGATAACACGAGTGCCCTCTTAGTTGGCTTGTCTTTTTTCAAGAAATCCTTGTTTATGCCCAAAGCCAAAATGCAAGAATCAGTAGGAGACAATACATGGACATGGCTCTTGTGCTGTAGTGCCCTTGCACAATTTCAACGTAGACAGCTTTAGGCAAAAGAACAGATTCTATTCTTGAAGCTGTCCTTGCATGGCCAATAGTTTCTTTGACAGCTTTTCAACACAAAGCGAAGAGAATCTGAGGTTCTGTGCTTGAAGGCTTGAAGCCGCACGCAAACAAAGGATAGAGTAAGCAAAATAAGAATAGCATCTAGGGTTTTTTTTAATATGAGCAGGGAAGCACTGGCATCGCAAGTATAAAAATGTGATCTTTCACCTTGTTTTGCTTATAGTGTCGTAGGGTTTTTTATAAAAACACTAATGAATCATTGTGCTATTGGTTAGCATGTATTGCTTAAATTACTCTCTATGGGAAGACAAGATTGCTAAATTCGAACCAAATGCAAGCCTTTCTGCTAGGCTATGCCTTTGCAAATGAAATAGACAGGTGATTGAATTGCTGTCATATTATATACAATTTGTTTTGTAGGAGAAAAAAATATTAATTTTTTTTTTTAAAGTTAAATTATGTTTTTATTTGTTTATGAATCTATCAAATCAAACAGATGATATTAAATCAATTCCATATATTTTTTAATTTTTTATTAACAAAACATTAATAATTTTTAATTTTTTTTATATTAAAAATCTAATCCGATACGCCGTTTATCACTAGAAACTGCATCCATATTTTAGGGAGAAATTTAAATTAATTCTTTTGTCTTATACGAAAGAGTTGAGAAAGGGAACACTAAGCTCATCATTCTCTCTCTGGTAGTTTGAAAATAAACTATTGTGGGCTTGTTTTTTAAGCTAAAGCACCATTGAGCAAGAACATTCCTCAATAACTTCGAGGGATGTTTTATTTTATGATTTAAAAATATTTTAATTTTTTTTTTATGTTTTATATTTTAAATAAATATTTTTTTATATTTTAAAATTATTTTGATGTGCTAGTATTAAAAATAAATTTTAAAAATTTTAATTTTTTAATTATTTTAATGTGTTTTTGTTAAAAATAAAAAAAATATTTTAATATTTTTTCAAAATATAAAATACTTTAAAAAGCTATCTTACCACTGTTCCAAACTGTTTCTATTTCAAATTTAACATTTAATTTTGAATTTAATTATTTTTATTAGACAAAAAAATAACAAAAAATATTTTTTTTATTATATACAAAATTATATATGAACATTTTAATGATTTAGATTAGTGGGTCCCAATCCAGTAAGCTCTCCCTCACATGATAACTCTATTTTCTTCATAGTTACTAAAGGAATTTGGCATCTAGTTACAGAAAGACAATGATTTGAGATGAACTTCAGATTGAAAATCTTTATTTGCTTGGGATAAAGATGAAAATCTTGTTTTCAGATACAGCAGTGGTCGATTTACTAGGCACGGATAAATCTGTCAACCCCACTTCTGTCATAATTTGGAGGAAGTTCTGCTCCCCAGTAACTATTGGATTCTCTGTTACCTATGGCTATTTGACATGCAGATGAAAATTAGAATGATTAACAAAACAATTATGGTCATTAAATAAACTCGAAATTAATCTGAGACCAGAAACCATTTCAAGCACTACGCTTCAAAACTATCAACTTGACGTTCTTAACCAGAGAAAGCAATCAGTTCCTGATCATTGCTTCAGTACAGGTAATGAAGGGAGGAGTCAACAAAATAATGTCTAGCAGCAAAAAAATGAATGAGCTCATGGCAAAAAGAAGTCGAAATTGTCTATCTTCTTGTCCTTGCTGAAAACAATATCACAGATTGAATTCTGGTTTGCCATACTTCTGTTTTCTGTAACCCGTTTATGACACTAAACTTTTCTTGGCAGGCATTTCTCAAATGTTAATGATTTTGAATGATTTTCTGAACGTGAATTTTAATGATTTGGCCTTGATAGTCTCGAAAGAATATAGTTTGAAGCTACTTTTGAATTTTAAATGCGCTTCATGGCATGTCCCATATGTTCATGCTAGGACTTTGCAACAGGATCAGTTGAAGAGAAGAATAATTCATTAAGAGGAACTCTCCAAGTTCGGAGACTCATTGAAAGTTCCAGCTTGTCTCTAGAGATGAGCACGCTCATCATCATATTCATGGGAAATAACTTAAAGCGTATCAGGAAATTTTCACTTGGTTTCTAGTCTGATATTCGATTAACCTATATCGCAAGCAGATGATGGTGAGGAGAGAGACCACAGTGGCAGTTCCTCCCCTGCTCTTCAAGTAGTTTATTGCAGTAACAGTTCGGTAAAAGTAATGCGTAATGAAGGGCTAATCGACCACAAAATTCTATCTAATGATAAACATTCTATGCTCCGACCACAGAAGGTCCTCCCCTGAATATCTTTTCAGTAGACAGAAACAGCAGCCCAAATTAAAATAAAGAATAATCATTATTCAACCCATTACTGATGAATGCTTGCTGATATGGATAATTATAAAGCCATGTTTCTCCACTCTGAACAAGCTAGCTTCAACTTCTATCTCTGAAGCATGACTTCTCTCCTCATAGACATAGCTTGCAGAAAATTCAGAAAATTTCTAGTTGAGTTCCTGGAACTTCAGGAAGCTGCAGCCACATATTGCATGGGAAAAAAGCTCATCCAAATTATTCAGATTAAGCGTACACCATCATTTGGTACTGCCAAAAACAAAACCAGCCAGCCTAACCCTGAATTTTATAGTTTTCTAAAGTTACACCTATGAATTTTTGGACAGATTTCCAGATGCTGAACCTCCAAATAAATGCTTAAATCATCCATCACTGCAAACTACTCTACAAAGAAACGATATAACAAAACATCAATAATAAGAATATCCATGACCAAATACCTCCTAGGATAATAAAAGGAAATAACTACCAGCTCAATATCCAGAATAGAAAATGAAAAATCCAAAGTACAAGACTTATGGGTAGCTAAGAAGAGGTTCTACTGGTTATAAGTTGGTAGTCTGACCTTTATCTGATTCTATAGTGGAAGCCGGCGCAGGGAAAATCACAAATTGGGATTACAGAATCATCAGCTAACCTATGTCCTCGAAAACTATCCGCAGGCAAGACAAAATGAAAGAATCAGCCAACAAGGTATTCTTTTTCCTATGTAGCTATCAAGTATCAACTTAAAGAAGTGATCATGTGTATCTAACAGGTTTAAAAGCAGATGTTCTATATTGGCAATCTCATGGACTCCAAGCAACGCAGAAGAACAACAGCATAAAGAATTCTTTGGAAGAAAATTCCAGGGTTTTACCGTTAACAAATTATCCTGTATGGAATAAAAATTGTCTTTTGGTTTGAGGCTTAATGTGGGCATAACCACTTGAGCTTAGCGTTGAAACCAACCAAGAATGCCAGTTACTGAGGAAAACTACCCTACACGTTAACTTGTAGCAACAAGTCTCCTAAAGCAACAAATTCAAATCCAATGTTCTACAAATTTTTAATCTTGAGATTCTACGATGGAATTCATAATTATTCTCACATTTCAACACAAAAAAACCAGCAGTTCTACAAATAGTTAGCCAAGAGAGTCCCTGGAACCTTATTTTAATCTTGAAGTAGCAGACAACAATGAAGTTTCTGCAATACAGAAACACTAACAACACAAACTCCCAAGAAACAAGACACAATGGCACACGGTTAATTCAAATTTCAATGGCACACCAAACACCATATCTTAAGTAGAGCATGTTGCCATCCCTCTAAGACAGGAGCCTATGATATATCTGCTGCAGTCTTGCCTTCTGCACAGCTATTTTCACGTAGATCCTGTCCCATGCTTCGTCCAAGAACCGGAAATAGGCATATCTCTTCTAGAACGCTTTAGCAGTAAAGCACCTGAAACTCCCCAAAAGAACACACCGAAACCGATTCCCAAAGCAGTATAAAACCATCTCCTGAATTCATCAACAACTGTTTCATTGCCTTGGTTGTCAGTATTAGCCAGTGGTCTTGGAGTCGCCTCATCTCCAGGACATTTATGTGTGACCGGCAGCCCGCACAAGGCAAGATTACCGGAAAATGCTGAAGCATTAAAACTTTGCAGCTGGGTGCCTGATGGAATTTTCCCGGACAGGTTATTGTAGGAGAGATTCAAGCAACTCAAAAAACTTAGAGAAGCTGTGCTGGATGGAGTCACTCCTGACAACTGATTTCCTGACAAATCAAGAGATTCTAGCTGTTTCAGCTGCCCAATCTTGAGAGGGATACCTCCGGTCAAATTGTTTCCTGACAAGTTCAGTGCAACCAATTCTAAGAGACTTGTTATCTCTTCAGGAATTTCTCCGGTTAGTTTGTTTCCTGCAAAATCAATAATCCTGAAAAGTCCCAGACTCCGTACGTATTCATACTGTCTTCCTTTCCACTCAACCCATGCTTTGTTAACATGTTGGCCTGGTTGTCCCAAACCAAGTTTACCAGAAGTAATATCAGTTAACTCCCCTTTCTGAATCATAGCAGTATAATTGTTGAGGCATTTTGGAATGATTCCAGAGATGTTGTTCAGAGAGAGGTTCAATATCTTAATATGTCTTAGCCGACAAAAATGAGATGGTATGCTTCCATAGAACTCATTAGATTGTAGGAAGAGGAATTTCAGAGACAAAAGGCTTTCTCCCATCCAAGCTGGTATTTTTCCATGCAATTTATTTATAGTTAGGTCTAAAAACATCAAATCAGTGCATTTTTTTAAAGACAAAGGTAGTCGTCCAGAGAAGCTATTATTACGTAAATTCAATGTTCGAAGCACCAATAGTGATCCCAAGGACCTAGGAATTCTACCAGAAAAATTGTTGTCGGCCAAGTCCAGAAATTCTAATCCATCGAAAGGGATTAAGCAATTAGGAAGATTTCCTGACAATAGGTTCTTTGAGAGGTCAAGAGAGATCAATTGAGGACCTGCAATCTTACATATAGCAGAATTTGAACCTGAAAACATATTGTTAGAGAGATCTAAGGCAATTGTTTGTAAAGGAAAAGGTGGTAACGGGCCCTCAAACTGGTTGGAACTCAAATCTACCCCAACAATTTCAGCATATTTTGATGACAAATCAGGCAACATACCTCGCATGTTGTTGTGGGAAAAGTTTAAGAGGGTCAAGTCGGAATTAGACAGATCCCAAAACCAATTGGGGATTGTATCAGAAATTCCAGTACCAGAGATATCTAGCACCCATAAATTATTTTGATTTCGAAGCCATTGAGGGAAATGAGGGCCCAAATTGCAAGATGAAAGATAAAGGTAATTCAATAGAAAAGGGGGAGCCCAGTCGTACGTAAATTTCAAAACCAGAGAGTTATGAGATAAATCCAAATCCTGTAATTTGGATAGATTTGAGAAATGAGCTTCAGACATCACACCTTGCAGAGAATTCCTCCCAACATTCAATTTCTCGAGCTGAGATAAGCTTCCACTACTTTCAGAAACATTCCCATCTAATCGATTGTTATATATATGGAACTCTCTCAATGATGAAAGCATCGCAACATCTGGCAGTGATCCAGTGAGTTGGTTGTCACTCAAGTTCAAGGAAACAAGTTCAGAACGTTGTCTAAATCTTTTTGGTAAAGATCCATTCAATTTGTTATGAGAGAGGTCCAATTCAGTAACGGAAGAGAATCTTGTAAAATCAGGCAAAGAACCATGAAGTTGGTTATCACGTAATTGCAAACTCTTCAGCGAGTTCTCTACGCATCCATGCATATTTCGAATAGACCTGGGAAGGGGTCCACTGAGGTTGTTGGAGGACAAATCTAGCTCACGTAAGCTACACATTCCTCCAAAGGATCTTGGAATTCCTCCTTCAAGTTGATTATCGGCAAGATGAAGATTCGTGAGAGAAGTCATTTTCCCGAAAGCATCTGGAATAAAACCTTGTAACTGGTTGGCAGATAGGTCAAGATCAACAAGGCTATCACTGGAGTTGGACAACCAGGGGACTATTGATGAAGAAAGCTGGTTGAATGAAAGATCAAGGATAGAAAGAGATCTTGAAGAATTGACGAAAGAAAGAGCTGGAGGAACGATGCTTAAAAGGCTACAGTCACTTAACTGCAAGTCTTTTAGGCGAGGGAGCTTGTTAACGACTTGCATCCAATCACTGGCTTGGGTAAGGTGATTTCCAGTCAGGTGAAGATGCTCTAAAAAAGAAAGACGAGAAAGCCAATCAAGGCTTTCAAAACTAACATGAAAATTATAGCTGAGATCAAGAGATTGCAGGCTAGAGAGGTTCCCAAGCTGATATGACAGCCTTCCGATTAAACCATTGTTGGAGAGACTCAGGTATCTTAATTTCCTGAGGGAGCCAACGAAACTTGGGAAAGGATTCCCATAGAAACTATTATCACTAATGTCTAAATAATTCAAATGCTGCAACTCAAGTAATGAATCGGTAATGTTACCTCCCACAGCCAAACCATGAAGATCAAGCATGGTGATGCGACCAGTTCTGTTGTTGCAACCAACTCCTACCCATTTACAGCAATCACTCTTCTCTTCGTCATCACTTCCCCAAGAAGAAAGAAGACCAGAGGGATACGCAAGTTCTTGTTTAAAACTGAGGAGTGCTTGTCTTTCCCTTTCTATGCACCTGAGTTTTGCCCTTTCCGCTGCTGAAATGAATCTAGGACCTTGTTTCACGTACAAGAGTAGCACAATAATAAGGATATAAAGAAGCTGAACACTGGACAATCTATGCATTATCAGCATGGTTACAACGAGGATGGAATGGTTATGGCAGCAACAAGAGCAATGATAATTTTCAGTTTACTTTTAATTCTGCGAACTCTTTTCTAAGTCAAGGTGAGTCAAGGTCCACTGTAATGGAAATTCATGACGTCCTCATAAATTATGAATCCGCGTTAAGGTTTCTAATCCGAAAGAACTGAAAAATTTCATTCAATTCTTTTGAAAACAGTCCTTGTTTCATCCGTGTGGCATGAATTCTTGACCTTTCTATTAGGGACCTGGTGTAATTTTTCCTTCGTATACGCAAGAAGTCCACTACTTGTAGACCCCATGATCTAAAGGTTTAAGTTTGAAGATTAGCATACCTATCCTGTTCATTTTCCTTATTAAAAAAAGAAAAAGAAAAAGTGTTTTAAGTTTGGCCTTAAAAACACTCTGGTCTATCAGTCGAGGATGATGAATGAACAGAAGGCTCTTCCGTGCTTCTTCTTCTTCTTTAATTTTTTTTATGGGTTCGGTGTCTCAAGGTATTCTACATTTGACTGTTAAAATTCCCAGAACAAAAAATGCCATTTTTGCTTCAAACATATTAATGTTAATTTATATATAAAAAAATTGTTTTAACAGTGAAAGCCCAGCTTTCTTATTCTGGATCGTTATTTATGCTTAGATTAAGTTGATTAATTTATGAAAATTTTCTTTCATATGTATTTTTTCAGATTCAAATCCGAGATTAATTAAAAAAAAATTATCATGTAAACCAACACTAATTCTTCATAAAAAAAACTTCAAAAATAATGTTAACAATATTTGTAGGTATGTTCAATTTTCAATTTGGAAAAACCACCCCAACATGATCAAAACAGTATATCATTATGTAGCAGAGGCCCAAAATCCAAGAATTAAAAAAAAAAAAAAAATAATATAATTTATAGTATGTGCAAGGCAGAAGTTTACCAATTGAAAGACATACCTTTTCTTTCTTCAAAACATTAATCTTATGTGTGTACAAAACATTACCAATTGAAAAACGTACCTTTTCTTTAAAAGACAACGAAGTTAAGATTTCAATTAATCAAATGCAAAAGAAAGAAATAAATTTGGAAAAAAGGAAGAAAAAATAAATGATTTGAGCCAACTTAAATAAACATACCAACAAAATTATAAAATTTAATTTTAAAACAATCCAACATTAAAAGATAAAATATAAAAAATGTTATTTTTTTTAAAAAATAACATTAAAAAATATAAATTAACCCAAGTTAACCTGTGGTTTAAGACTGAGATAAAAAAATAAAAAATATTAATAAAAATAAAAACTCATTATAAAAAATATCATATCTCATATCGGTGAGTGAAAGATTAATAGTTAGTCTTATTAAGAATGTTGGTTGCTAACTTGTTATACATGTTTTGGGGTGTCAAAATCAAAAGTGAGCTCCCGTTGCTAGGAATAAAATCGTGAGGGCAGTAAAGCCCAAAATGGATAATATATGGCAGATTGGACCGGGCTGTTATATTTAGTATTAGAGCCGACCTCACTAGTTGTCCAGTTATGTCAACGGAGTCATCGAGCTCCTTAAGAGGGTAGATTGTAATATTCCATGTCGCCGAGTGAATATTTGGTAGCTGGTCTTATTAGTAATGCTGATTGGTAATATGCTGTACGCGTTTTGAGGTGTCAAACTTAGAAGTGAGCTCATGTTACCAAGAACAAAACTGTGAGGGCAGTAAAATTCAAAGTGGACAATACACGACATGTTGAGCCAGGCTATTACAAAAAAGCTCTAACTTTGAAGGATGAAATTGAAAAGGAAAATCAACTATCAACCAATTTATTGTTGAATAATAAAATTAAAAAAATAACAGTCTAAAAAACTTGTCAGTAAATTCAACAAAGAATGAAAAATAAAATAAAAAAGATAAACCGAGTCATTTTTAAAATTCATAAGAAACATTATAGAAAGTAAATAAATAAAAATAATTAAGCCTAATCTCCAATTAAATAAATAATGAAGGATAAAACTTAAAAAACATGAGTTTACACAAGGAGAAAAAAAACCAAGTAAACTTAGGGCAACCTCCTAAACCATGATTAATCTTTAAAATTTATAATCTGTGAAATTCTAGACTTGGATTTAATCAAAAAGTTCGACTATCAATTAATTTAATGTTGAAAGCTGAAATAACAATAAAATAAATTTAATAAATTTTCTAAAGTTAAAAAAAAAAAAAAAAATCAAAAGAATGAGAATTAATTTATAACCAGTGAAATCCTAGATTGCTTCAAAAAATTCAATTCCTAACTAATTTAATATTAAATGATAAAATCAGAAGAAAAAATCAATTAATTTATTTTTCAAAGTAGAAAAAAAGCAATTGAAAAAATAAGAAAAAAATCTAATAAGAAATAAAAAAGTTAAAGGAGGATGAAATTATAAAAAAATAATAATTATATTTTAAAATCCATCTCAAATAAAACAAACTTGACCCAAGACAACAAAAAATAAATTGAACAAAAAAACCTTAATCCGAGTCAACTTAGATTAAACTGCAAAACATATAACTTGACATGTAAAATTAGGATAATTCAATGAAAGGATAAAATAAAATAAAAAAGATATAAAAAAACCCTAAATTAACATGAGCTAACCTTCAAATCTTTGATTTAAATCATTAAGTCAAAATTATTTTATTAAAAGCAAATATGAAAAAATAAAATTTTAATAAATAAAATGTTAAGGGATGAAATAAAAAATAAATTTTTAGTAAACAATATCTAAATAAAAATAAAAATAATAAATATCAAATATCAAATATCAAATAAAAATAAAATAAAATAAAATGTAGATATATATAGTTGAAAAACAAATTTAATTACAAAAACAATAATTAAAAAAATCAAAATCAAAACTTATAGATAAAATCATTAAAAGATGATGAAATTTAAAAAAATTAATTTAATAAATTATTTAAAATAAAATAAATTATAATAATAAATTTTTTTAAAAATAAATTAAAAAAATACTTTAAAACTTCACAGGCACATACACAAAAGTTAATTGAAAAATGGAAAAGAAAAAAAAATCATCAGAAGCGCGTTGATCATACGTACCACTGACGCTTTGGAGACTCAAATGCCACCGTGAAAACTGACATCTGGCACCAAAAAACGATGCTCACTTTTGGCGTCCGAAAAACATGGATGTAACTACACTCATCCACGTAAGTAAAATACATCATCAATTTTTTTAATATTAAATAACATTTTATCTCTATTAAAATATCAAATTATTCATCATCTAACTCATAATTGAAAAAAAAACATAAAGAAAAGATTAAAAAAACTGAGTAAACTTAAGATAATTTGAATTTAAAAGCAATATAGTGATGTAAAAAGGAAAAAAGGACGAAACTACCTCATTACCTTTACTGCTAAGGGTTTTTTTTTTTCTTTTCTGGGAAGAGTAAAATAGTAATTCTATTGTTTCTACCCGCCGTGCAAAATAAGTCAAGAGCTATAATTTCTAGGTGTCAATCACAGGAAATTTGTCTGAAAATATAGCTATTTGCTAGGTGCCCTCAGTACTCTACAGAAAGCATAAAGAGAAAGAAAAAAAAAGATAAAAAAAGACACTCATTTCGTTTTTGGAGGAAGGAAATGCAGGTGTAGAGAGAAAGAAAGGGTTTGTTGTGGTGGGTTTTCTGGGAGCCTCTTAGCTTTCTTGAGGGTTTTGAGTTTAAGAAATAAAAAAGGAGACATTTTTATTGTTGGTAACTAAAAAAATTCAAAACTTTTTTCTTTTATGTTATTTGTTTTATAATCTTTCTCTCAGTGCTCATATTTGTTTAACTGGTACTTGTAGCTTTCTGTGTGCTAGTCTTTGTTTGGTTGCCAAGAAACCGCGAGAAACATTTTTGTTGAGTGTTTCTAAAATGGGGTTAAAAGGTTTTTGTTTTCATTGATTTTTTTCCTGGTTTTCTCTAAAAAACCATTAATCTTTTGAGTTTTGATGGTGTTTTATTGTAGAAAACAGAGGAGGTTATTTTGGTTGTTTGTCCTCTAATTTGTTGTGACGAAGCTTTTGAGGGTCTGTGTGTTTGCGTGGAAAGAAACTAAAAAGTGAAAACTTTAACATAAACCTTTCAAGACTCTTTGTTGGGAAACCGAACGACCGTTTTTGGAAAATGGGTTTGGATGTTTACGAAATCTGATTATCCCTGGCTTTATTTTTATCTGTATATTTTGTTGTTTCTTTTGTTACCCTCTTAATTTTTCTTGCTATTTTTCACACACAAAAAAAAATCTCTTTTTGTATGTTTTTTTGGGACGAATGGTAAAAAAGTAAAGTCAGATTCTGTTTGAATGATGAGAAAATACGAGAAAAAAGGCCGTTCAATTCTTGTGAATCCTACGAAGTGTTGGGGATTGGAGTTATTTTTTCAAAAAAATAAAATCAAAAACAGCAATATTAGTATAAACATGTAAAACGAGGAATACAGTGTGTTTTTTTTTTTTTAAAAAAAAAGGTTTCTTGGCTGCCAAACAGAGGATATTGAAATTTTATTGTAAGCTATAAGCACTTCTGCTTTGATGCTTATTTGCTTCTTATTAAAAAAAAAGCATTTAATTAGGAATTATGATATGCATGTTGTACTAGCTAGAGGCCTTAATGTTTGTTTCCCAAGAACACACTAAAATTAATCCCATGGCTGTAGTCATGAATTAAGAAAGGATGTGATTTTTTCTGACAAATTTGCTTATATTTAGGGTTCATTGTTCATTGACCAAGTGGCATTCAGATACCTGTTCTCACGTTTAATGTGTTGCTAGCTAACACTTGTAGTGTTTTACGTTAACTCCTACTGATTTTCATCCACTTGTTATGCTTGATAGATGAGATCTAAGGTAATCGAAGAGGATTTGTGATTAACTAGGGCTCTTTGTTCTTGGGATGCTATTTTTGATGGATTAGGTAATATCATGTCATTTTGCTTTCCTGTTTCTATCTTACCTTATTTTTGCCTCTAACGTGTATATATTATCTTACTTGTTTCCATCTTCACTGAATTTTATTTTGGGAGAAATATACTTTAATTTTATAATAAGGGTTCCTACAAAACAAGAAACATAAGTTTTTAAGCCGTGACAATCATTGAGATACTAGCTAGATATATGTATGTAAGAAGCTTCACGCTTTAATCTTTCACGTGCTTTCTTGAACATGTAATGAATTGTTTGGCAAGATGCGCCAGGAAACATAAACTACTATGCCTTACTGTTTGTTTGTTTAATTAAGAGCTCGCGAAATGTTTCATGCCTTCCTACTAATTAGCAACATTTGTATTTTTAGTTAGTAATTTTCTTTCTCTCTCTTTTTGGTGGTATTTAGATGTTTGTGTTGCTTTGTATGAGTTAAAATGGTGGTGGTAGCTGGGTAGCGGGGATGCTCATTCCCCATTAACTATTGTGTTGATAGATCATTATTTGTGCTATTGACTCTTTATTTACGTGAAAAAAGAGAGAAACATGTTCAATCATATTACTCCTGTATGTCTTGTTGACATTCAAGATTCAATGACTGCATTCATTTTTTCTGTGATTTAGGATATGGCAGATTTTGGGTGCTTGGACACAGACATTCCCTTTGATGTGCTCTCCCGCTTGCAAACGAAAGATTTGCTGGGATTGAAGTGTGTCTCTAAAGAATGGAAGGACCTCATATCTGATCGCTCTTTCATCCAGGCTCAGTCACAAAAGAAAGAGCCACTGTCAGGATTCTTCTTCCAGCAGAGGCATCGGTACTGTCCTGATGACATAAAAACAATTACCTATTTTCCTGTTGAAAGGACTAGATTGCAGCAGGATGTCTTCGCTTTCCTCCCTCAGGATGTCGTGGTGTTGGCATCGTGCAATGGGCTTGTTTGTTGTCGAAGTTGCTACCCTTTTGAAGATCCAGCTATCTATGTCTGCAACCCCTTGAACAGTGAATGGTGGAAACTGGATTGGAAGGAACCTGGCAAAGAAAGCTTCATTGCTCTGGCGTTCAATCCCTTCACGGATATCTCTGTCAATTTGACAAATTTCAAGGTTGTTAGACCGAGGCAATTTGAGACTGAGCAGGAGGAAGCATACTTCTCATTTGAAATATATGCCTCAAGGACAAGGAATTGGAAGCTATCAAAAGAGGTTTGCTGGTGTGACAAAAGTTTATCCAAGAATGAAGGCATTTTTAGTGGAGGGATCTTACACTGGCTCACTGATGGTGACCAAATCCTGACTTTTAATGTAGAGAATGAACTAGCTTGGCTGATTTCAACGCCACTCCCAGCTGGAGAGTTTAACAGCACGCCTCAAGCTTGCATTGGAGAATCTGAAGGTCAACTGTATTATGTACTGATCTCTGAAGAAGGACTTCATGTATGGGTTCTTGAGGACTACTTTGATTCTACTTGGTCTCTCAAGTACTCGAAAACTCTTGCGCAGATAGAAAAGGAACACTCGGGCGTCATGATCAATTTATACAACAGAGTGATGCTCTGGCAGAGAATTGATGATCGCCCATGGATGGATCCCTTGGCCTTCAAAGATGGGGTCTTGGTAGTAAGGATATCTAATACCATCCACTTATATCATGTTGACACCAGCAAGATTGAGGAAGTTGGCGAGACTTCAAAGTTCGGTGCAATGTCCTGGGTTTCCCCCATAGTGCTTCCCTATACCATGAGCCTGGTTCCTTTAGGTCGTAAATTGGGGTCACCTTAATTTTCATCCTCTGCTGACTGTGAGCTTATATAGCTTAGGAAAGTAGTGCCTGACAGGATTCTCAAATTAGTAGAGACCAGTTTTGAATCTGAGCTCTTATGGATCCTGACACTGTTAAAAGGAATCCTCTTTTGTCCATGATGACTTGACTTTTGAATTACTATATAGTTTCAGCTTTACTAGTTGTCATTTGTTGGTATTTTTAATAATCTTTTGTAATTCTTGCAAGTTAATTCTAATCGGTATTCCACAGAATTCCGTTCAGTTCTCAACGCTGAACTCTGGGGTGGTTTTGTAGGTTTAAACATGGCTCGGGGACGTGGGATACAGAAGCGCATTGCAGTGGAACTGGACTCCGAGCTTGCTGTTGATCTCATTCCCTGCACTGCAATATCCACTGGTCCTGTTTACGGTTGATTCGAATAATTTGGTGTTGCTTGTTTTTATGATATTTATGTTTTAATTTTTTAATTTTTAATTAATAATTTTTTATATTTTTAATTATTTTGATCAACTCATATTAAAAATAATTTTTTAAAAATAAAAAAATATTATTTTAATATATTTTATATAAAAAGTATTATGAGAAATAATTATAATTAATTCTCAAACTGGCCTGACCTGCCTCGCCGTCTTTGGCAGGCGGTGCAGCCGAGGCAAGTAAAATAACGTGCTGATTGGTTAGCTAACCGAGCTCATCCCTTTAAGTTGTTTTCAAATAAAGCTTAGAATTCATTAGTTATATAAAAAAGAAATGGATATAAAAAAATATATTTTTATCATTAATTATAATTTATGTACGTTCGGGTAGCAATATCCTAATTAATACTCAAAGTCTAACCAGGTCGGGTTAGGATATCCGAAACATGGAGCTACCAGATAATGAAAAGAATTGATCATAATTTTGGATAATTTTGGATGGGAAGGATAATACTAAAAACCAATCCATGAATATTAATGGTCAACCATAACTGGAACATAGAATTCTACGTAGATACGTCATCGTTTTCATTTCTCCGTAAACACCAATAAGTTCACCAAAAAAATCTCTCTCTGAAAAATACACCAAAAAAAATCAAAAATCAGAAAAATCCCATTTTAATTCTTCAATAAAAAAAGGCGTCATGTCTTCCACCACCGGCGGCGTCGCGCAACTCTACTTCTGCTACAAGTGCAACCGAACGGTAACAATAACTCCACCAGCCACCGCTCTCTCATGCCCTAACTGTCACGAAGGTTTCCTCGAAGAACTCGATTCTCCAAACCCTAGCCCTAACCCTTTAGATGGTGGTCTCGGCCCCGCCCTCTTACTCGACGACTTCGCCTCCATTTTTGGTGGCATGAACCCCACTCCTCGATCATCGACCACGTCAACAACAACAACAAACTCCTCCTCTGCGTCGCCACTATTTCAAGATCCCGACGGTTTCAATCCTTTCGTGTTCCTGCAAAATTACCTGCAAACCATGAGGGCCGGCGGAGCGAATATTCAGTTTGTGATTGAAAATAATCCTGGTATGGGCGGAATGGACCCCACCGGATTTCGTGTTCCGGCGAATCTCGGAGATTACTTCATCGGACCAGGGTTAGAACAACTAATTCAACAGCTTGCGGAGAATGATCCTAATAGGTATGGAACTCCGCCGGCCGCGAAATCTGCGGTTGAAAATCTTCCTGATGTCAAGGTAACAGAGGAATTAATGCAATCGGATTCTTCACAGTGTGCAGTTTGTAAGGATAGTTTTGAGCCAGGGGAGGTAGCTAAACAAATTCCTTGTAAGCATATCTATCATAAGGATTGTATCACGCCTTGGCTTGAATTGCATAATTCGTGTCCGGTTTGTAGATATGAGTTGCCTACCGATGATCAGGATTACGAGCAGAGGAAAGGGGATGGGAGTAATGGGGTTAATCAAAATGTGGGTGGTGGAATTAGCAGTGGTGGGTCGTTTAGTGACGGTGATAATAGCGATGGAAATGCTCAGACACCGAGAGAGAGGAGGTTTAGGATTCCATTTCCATGGCTGTTTAGTAGTGGTAGTGGTAGGTCGGCTGGGTCGTCGGCAGAGGCCAGCAATAGCCGGAGTGGGGACAACAATGATGGGAATTCAAGAGGGAATACCAACTTTGGATCTGACACTAGAGAAGAGGATCTTGATTGATTATTGCTGCTGGGTACTGTTTCTTGTAAACATACAACTTTTTTTTACTTAATTTAGTTTCTTATTGTTTTTGTTTCTCCTTTTGTTTTCATTTAGCAATAAGTGGCTGTTTTTGTTAATGCTTGTCAATAATAGTTTGGTCTTATTGATGGTACACTTTTTTTTTTTAATTGAATATCTGTGATCTAGATGGTTGTGCAATGAATTGACGACACAACTGTGAGTTATGAGTTTTCTGTGTTCTGCTGATTGTGAAGCAATTGTGATTGACAGAGTATCTCTAGAGCCACGTTATTTTGTTTGGTGAAGATGGAATTCTTTTGCCTATATTGCTATAGGTTTCTTACATAGAAAATAGGATTTTGAAGTTTTGATGTTTGCATGGTGTATTTAAAATTGCCTTGGTGTTCTGGCATGGTTGCTGTAGTGTATGGTTCTTGTTATTTTGTTTTTATGTTCATCATTTGCATTCTCGTTTGCGTTTGCTTACAAAATGTCAAGATGAAGGTAGGATTGATGAGATTTACAGATGCTTGGTGTTAAAATGTGGCATGACAAGCATGAGCACGACAATCAATTGCATGCTTCTGACTCTGGTTTCTTGGGAGCTCTCAACTGCAAGCAGGATTATCATGTTTGCCTATGAACAGAACACATGAAAGGTACTGGGGTGCACATTCAGAGTACATGTCTTTGTTGCTTAGCCCTCCAAACGATAATAGGAATATGATACTTATGCTACAGATTTTGGATTAGTTGAAGAGTTTGGTGTCATTGCAGTGGGTTTGACTTGGAGATTTAAGAGCTTGATTTTGCACTTTCAGCTATGTCTTTTTTATATATATAAAGATCAGGTATTCATTTGAATGTCTAGAATATCTATATTCCTTGCTACTCTCTCATGTTGAGAAGACCATGGTAGACCAACAACCTGATGAGGAAGTGTGAGAAATTCACAAGTTATTTTTACATCAATGAAGCAGTACTCAAGCGCAAACTCCTTGAAACAATTAGGATTCAATAACTTGTATCTGGGATGGTTAATAATATGGGATGTTAGCAAGTGCTGTAGGTCATATTCTGGGGCCTCTCAGCAATAAAAGTTAGATTGGATAAAAAAAGTCCTGCTTTTGTAGCTTTAATCTGATGGATTCCTTCAAATTTCTGCGCGTACACACGTGCATGTGATTAGTGAATGTGGATTAGTTTTGATGCCGTTGTATCTGAATTGTGGTTTTATTCTACAAGGATAATATTTTATTCTTAATTGCACTTCCTATAAGACATTCATCTAGATTGGCCCCTTTCAACCTTTTTCACGTTGTCTATTACTTCATGCTACATCTAGTTTTTGTGTCCTTTTCGAATCAATGAACGTAGCATTACGTGATAACAATACCTTCAAAGTAGGCTGTATTATTTTGGTGTTTTTGTGCATCAAGTTAAATGGATAATAGATTCATTGGTTTAGATACATCAGCTATAGTTCTCTTGCCAAAATCATTGCTTGTATACCCTTGTTTTCTTGTAATGAAGCCAAGCCACTCTATCATGTCCTAGCTAAATGAGGCATTTCCTTAGGTTCATTGATTTGAAGGTTTCAGTAGCAAAATAAGAAAAGAGAAGGGATGTTGGTGTCTTTCTGGATATCTTGTTCGGTGATTTTTTGTGTGCCCAGAGCTGCATACAAACTTATCCATGAAATTTTATTATACACAAGCAGTCACGCATGTCATACCTATTTCATGACTACGCATGTGATGCAGTGAATCTCACGCACGCATAGTTATTTATTCTCTTCTCTTTCTGCAGGATGATACCTGGAAGGGTTGTTGAATGTAGAAAGAACTTGCGCACATTCTCTTCTCCTTTTCTTGCTTCATGCATGTTCTGTAAATGCCTGTTTTTAAATTATTTTCACAATTGTTGCTAGCTTCACCTTCTTAGGACTAATTCATGCACAAATTCGCTTGGTTCTGTAAGTTCTTCTTTGTTTGAGCATCATTCTAGACCCCCCCCCCCCCTCCCCCCCCCCCCCACCCCCC